TGCACAAGATTTTTGAAAGAGAGCACGACAAAGAAAAAAAAAGGCTTCCAAATTTTGAAATTGTGGCATTAACAGATGAAAGTGGTGCAAGAATATAAGACAAATTGCCTCCCTAGTTGAAATATCTAGGGAGTTTTAATTTACCAATTTCAATTGAAAATTCTTGTTCTATTAATGCATTGTGTAACACAAGTGCTATCATAAGTCTAATGTTATATTCTATTTACAAGAAATTGGGATTAGGTAAAGTCAAATTAACATCAATAATGCTACAATTAGCTGATAGAACAATTTCAATGTCACGTGGCAAAGTTGAGAAAATACTTATAAAAGCAGAAAAATTAATATTCTTTGTGGACTTCATTGTGTTGGACATACCAAAAGATCGAGACATTCCAATTTTATTGGATCAGCCATTCTTAGCAACGGGTTGAACTCTGATTGACATGGAGAAGGGTAAGCAAATATGAGGGTATAGGACAAGCAACAAATATTCAATATTTAGACCCAATATAAGCAACCTCCTATCATCAAAGTTTGCTGTAAAATTGACGAAGAAGAGCCACCTAATCAACGAAGTTGTTAGAAAAGAAAATCAAATTTTGGTAAACTTCTTGATAGATATGCGAATGTAAATCTCAAAATATGGAAAGCAAAGAAAGGGTATATTAATGAAAATTGTACAAGATGCAAGGATGGAATAACTTCATTCGAGCCACCATGATCAATCATGGAAAACAGTCAACTCAATGACTTTAAAAAAGGGCTTCTTGGGAAGCAACCCAAACTCTATTCCTTTCTTATTACTTAATTTTTAGTTTTAGGATTGTTTATTTTATTGTCGTAACACTCTCGTTGTGTTGTTTGTATGAAGATTCTTTAGTCTGTGTGCATTAACGTGACTAGAAAACCAATACATATTCATATTTACCTCATAAGGGCGATGGCAATGTCATAAACTGATGTACTCAGGAAAATCCTAACCCTCCTATGTATTTTTTTTTCACATTGAAGATAATGTTTTTTTTTAATTTGGGATGAATTATTAGTTGTTATCTGCCTTTATCAGTTTTTTGGTATTTTTGTGTATGTGTGCTTGTGTGATATGATTATATTTCGTGAAAATAAAAATTATGCATACTTGTGTATGTTATATAGTTTTGTCGACAATAACGAATATATTTGAGAGTATGTATTAGTTTGTAGACTACGGATGAATCATATGCTTTAGTTAAATTTTCTGCTTATCCATGCGAAGCGATACAATATTTATGCACGATAATTACTTATAACATCGTTCAAGAACAAGAAAGATTTATATGCATAGGCTGAATAAATGACTTGGGTGCCTAATCTTTAACCCCTGATTCACAACATCCTTTAACTGTATAATGCATATGAAAAAGATTGTATGGAGTGTTTTTTACTTTCTAGTATAAGCTTGGTGATGACTGAATACTAGGGATCTGACTCCTGTAAATTGTGTTTTTCTTTTTATAGAAAATAAGCATCGCACTTATTCAGTCTACGCTTCACGCCTGCATCTTTTTTAGTCGAGTTAGTAAGTCCGTAGGAATATCTTGAAATCTGGTACTCTTTGGTATTCAAAAATCGAGTTACTAACTTAAAGCTCGCAACAGGGGGTCAAGAACAAAAAGGGTGAAGTCAAAAATTGAGCTGAAAAAAATTGGTACAAGTGCGCAAAGACTTGATTGTTTGTGGCCTAGATAACTAGTGTGTTTGAATCATTTGGTATAAGCTAGATTGTCGAAACACTCATAATTTGGGATAATCATCACATGAACAAATTGTTAACGTTGCCGGTTGACTAAACCAAATTACAGTGGTATAAGGAACTAATAAGTGAAACTAAATTTTAAAATTATACTATGAAGAGAGAATGAAAGAAAAAAAAGCTTGAAGATGTGTGAATTTCATGAGTGAAGAAAGGAAATAATTAATCATTAAGGGTTGGGAAGTGAACCAACTTGTGAATGTACGGCGTTATATTTGATTCTTCACACATACACATACCCGTTTTGCATTGGATAAGTGGAAGTTTGTATTGTGATTTTGAAGCCATTAGTAAATGTAATATAATATCCCTAGGCAAAACAACAAGGTATCTAACAAAATAATTTCTTTGCATGCTTATGTATTTATTAAGTTAGGTTATGATTTTGTTTGAGGAAAAACAAATGTTTAAGTTTGGGAGTGCTCGATAAGTATATTTTATACAATTATTCAGACTCTAAAGTATGGATATTTCATCATTCTTTTAATGAAATTGTAGTCTAATTTATTATATAATGTGTTATTAGTAGAAAATCGCGAATGGAAGTGGAATTGAAGAAAGGAGCGAAAAATCGACGAAAATGGGCAACATCCAAAGTTTGGGGACTAAAGTGTAAATACTTAAAAGTTATGTCGGACCTCAAAATGAATATTCGAGGATGCTAAGGGTCAATGAGATGAATTAGAAGTCAAAAATGAGTGAAATATGATCAAAATATGGACATAAATCAATTTTTTACTACACAAGTATGTTCCAAATTTTTAACTGAAAATTGAAACAAATTTTGACCTAGTAAACTTTTGAATTAGAAGAAAACTATCGAATTTTTTTAGATAGTTTGAGCCTTGATCAAGCTTTCTGCCAACTTGAGTGTAATAATAATCATAACAAATCACCCTGGAAGAAAAAAAAATTCAAGTAAAGTTGTAGCCAATCCAATTTGAATCGCTTCAATCGGATATCGGAGAAAGAAAATTATGATAAAAATGCTAAAGAAAGTGCAATGCAGATTTTCACCCGAAAGATGGCGCCAAGTGCCACCAAATCCCACAATACAAAGTCGCAACGCCACTTCTATGACGCCGAAGTGCCACTTGAATGTATCTAGGGCGCATTTTTAGCTTGTTTTGAAGCTCATAAAAATCCTATGTTCAATACAAATGTGTGGAGGAGCACAAATACAAGTTTTTGACACTTTTGAAGAGAGGCACACATTGTAAGATGGAGAATACAACTAGAAATTAAAGAGCGCAATTCAAGAGAGAAAAATATCAAGAAATTCAAGTTTTGAAGTATCAATTGAACAAAGAAAAAGTCTTAGTGCAAGATTAATCTCTTTTTCTACATGTTTATTCAAAATCCTGTGATATCTTCAATAACAGCCTCTTGTTTTTCATTTTCATTAGAGCAGCTAAATTTCATATCAGGCAAACAATTTAGAACACTTTATTTCTTTTATTTAAATCTACTTGAAATACTTTATTTCTTTTATTTAAGATTTTTGTTATTTTATCATATATGTGTTGATTTTGCAATGAATTTAATGTGTTGAATTACTTGATTACTAATTTGATGATTTTGTGAATATTTTACGAATCAAGATGTGAGTTTGAGGTTTAGACCATATCGTGAAATTCGATAAATTAGTATAACATGGAGATATACATATACTAATTATTGCAATCATTATATGAATTCTTAGAATCAATATTTCGTTTAATTAAGGTTAATTCGTATAGAGATATGTGATTAAATTAGCTAGATAAACTCAATGGGAATTTGAGAGGGGCGAACTGAATACAATAAAAGAATTCGATCGAACATTACGTTAGATGTTTGAATTTTGATTTAAGAGTTAAATGTGATAAAATTGTTCTGTCCTAAGATCCGTTCATTATTTAAATTTTCAATCAATCTTTGTGTGGTGTTTAAACCGAAAAATTACAACATAAATCTTTATTTTCTTTCATCAAATAGGAGTAAGAAAATCAAATTAAGACCTAAGATACAGTCCTTGTGGGAACGATAATCTGGACTTAAGGTCCACTATATTACTTTTTACGATATCATATACTTGCCCCCCCCCACCCCCCACCCAAAAAAAAAAAGAAAAGGAAAAAGGATTAACATTTTATTTTAGATTGTAACCAATATATTAGTCTTGTCATGCTATCCCTTGCTATACTCTAAATACATGTAAACACGTCATTTTTCACTCAATGAAATACACTTTTCCTCTCATCTCTCTTCGTCATGTTGACTGCTGCATTGCAAATATTTTTTAATTTAATTAGAACTTAGGCTTGTTTGATTGTATAAATTTTCCATGGAAGTTGAAAATTAAATTCCATTTTCCATCTTTTCGCATATTTGATTGACCAAATTTTCTTGGTAATTGGTTTTCTTGGCAATCCCTATTTTCCACGTTTTTGAGGAATTGGTTTTCCCATGGATTTAGTGGTTTTTGGTTTTCCATTTTTCTCTTGGCAATTGAAATAAATTTTATCCCAAATTGAAGCAAATTTTATCCCTTTAATTGACAATTTCCATGAAAAACACATTGAATTGATAAACGAACACCAAAAGATCCAAATTTACAATATTTTCTAATTGAAAAATTATGCCAATCAAACACATTTAATTAACAATTCCCAATAAAATAAGTTCTAAACAATTCAATTTCCTAAAATTCGTTTTCTTCCACCCAAATTTTATTCTTGTAATCAAACGGACCCTTAGAGTCTATTTGACAATCATCATTGTAAAACAAAAAACGAAGAAAAAAAGAGTTTTGAATTATGACTTAGGAGAATGTGTGATTCAAAAGTAGGAAAAAAATTTGTATACGTACAGAATGTGTAAAATAAATGAGTGATAGGCACTTATTAAAAGCAATTTACCCCCACACACCACAAGAGGTAACGTGTGTTGCACTAATTATGAACCTTGCTAGACAAGACACTACAAATTTCATCGCAACCTCTTCCTTAAAACCGTACCAAACATGCCCGGCCTTCTTTCGCTTTTTACTTTTTCGTATCATTCCACTGCCACAAGAAGAGGGCAAGCTGACAATCAAGCCTTCTTGCATCAGCATTGCATTTACTACTTGAGATCGAAGTAAGTTCATCAACTTAAAAGGACACGAGTTCATCAACTCGTGTGTTGCACTAATTACAAAAACAGTTACTTAGACACTTAAAAGGAACGAATACACCAAGGACATCGACTTCTTTTTACTTAATACCGACCACTGGTGTTCAATCCACATTGTTAAACGTATCAGAAATATTACAAATATGCGCCACAAAATTCTTATTACTTGTCATTTCCATGTCTTCTGTGCTGCAATGGCTATGACTCAACAGAGCAACAGTAGCTACTTTACAAAATTTACAGTAGTTCAAGAGCCAACGGGTACTAGACTAAGACATGGTAACATTATTTCTCTTACATGGTAATATTATTTCATTATTTATATCAGTGATTGGATATTACTGCCTACTCATCTCTAAGATAGCTCCATGGGTTTGATACTCCATATGTCTTTGGCATATTCATGAATTGTTCTGTCACTGCTGAACTTGAAGGAGCCTGCTGTATTAAGTACAGACATTTTTGTCCATCTCTGCAAAATAACAAGTGGATACATTAGGCATAGAGTAATAGAAGCCAAAGTGGGATTGAATTCATGGTGTTCATAATGTTGGGAAAAAAATAAGGAATTTCAAGGTAAAACTTCGAATGGGAAGATTACGATTAATGTCCCCAACCTTTCACTTTCGATGGGAAGAAATGAGAATCGAATTCATCAGCACATATGGAATCACAGAACGTTTGATTTGCTCTTTTTAAGAGTTTTACTATTTCTTTCTTTTTAATTTAGCCCCTGTTCGTATAGCTAAAAATCAAATTTTTAGTAGATTTTGATGAAAGTTTGATGAAATATGTGGTGGAAAAGTTGTGAAATGTGCGGTTAAAATTAATTGTTGGCATTGACTTAGATTTTAATCCAAACCAAACAGGTGCTTGTCTTATTTTTTTTGGTTAAAGTGTAAACGTATCTCGGACGAAAATTTTATCTTGTGTGCACTGCACAAGACTTAATGATCAAATGTGGAAAATTCATCCACTGGGGGAACCCGGAGCTTACTGCCAAAAGAATAGATCAAGGACCTACTTACTACTTTTGGAATAGTTTGGGGGACTCGAACTGTTATTTCCCAACTTCGAATTTCAAGTTCATGTAGATAACAAGTTGTTGAATACATGCATGTGCATGGCATAAATGCAAAAACTATCAATATGGACTAAGTCTTGTTATAACTCACCTTTTGATCTCGATATGCATCATCAACCTTCTCTTGGCATTCGATATAACTTGGGAAGTCCTTGCCTACAAGGAAGTAATCAGCACGGCCAAATCCTTCATTCCCTTCCAAGGACCCCATTAGTTCATCATAATTATAAGGCCCGAAAGCACCATTCCTAACAAATTCCTTGACTTCTTCAAAGCGTTCATCTGGTACAAACTGCAATTAACGAGAAGACGAAAATGAAACACTCCCAAAATGAACATCACCTCAATCCAGTTTTACTAGGCCACTACATTCAAACTTGAAAATGAAAGAAAACAATACGAGAAATAAAGGAAACAGGTCTTAGATTTGAGATTCTGGGCACATAGTCAGAGGGAAAATAGAGTTGAACTGTACCTTGCCCTCGGCTCTTTCTTTCCGAAGTGCAGCAATCTCATGAGCTTGAGCACCAAATAAGAAAAAGTTGTCCTCGCCGACTTCCTGCCTAATTTCAACATTGGCACCATCCAAGGTCCCAATCAATACGCAACCGTTCATTGCGAACTTCATGTTGCTGGTCCCACTAGCCTCCATACCGGCCGTACTAAAGAAGGAAACCGGGGGGAGGGGGGGAGTGTAGGTCAGATACTGTTGTGTTGAATCTGTTAATGACGGGGATATAATTTTCTTTCAGGAGATATGATGAATCTAATACTTCCAAGTATGAGCTTACACACCTGATATGCTGTGAAAGTTCACTTGCAGGAATTAATAGTTCAGCAGCACTTACATTGTAATCTGGAACAAACACAACCTAGATAGAGGTTGCATGTAGCGTAATTAAAACCATGAGGTGTGTGAATGAATGTGCACCAAGCAACTTAACAGTAACACATACCAAGCAATCCCACAAAAACATTATATGACAAAGCCTTTTTCTTTGCATATAAGAAGCATAAAGTCAACACCAAAGAAATAAATGATTCAATGACATTGAAATACAATTTAACGACGTTAGGAGGAAGCTTGTACCTTTAACAAATCACCAATATCTGGATCATGATTTATGGTAGCTCCAACATCTGTGATAAATTTTACAATCCTCTTTGCTTGTATGTATGTGGCAAATGCTTTTCCTCCAAATATACAAACTCTAGGAACAAACTTTTCTTTCCTTTCTGCTGCAGTCATTTCTTTCATTTTCTTATAGCGATAAACAATTCCCAAGATATTTAATAGCTGTCGCTTGTATTCATGAATGCGTTTTACCTGAAAAATGGCAGCCACATTCCACGTCACCAATAAAGTCGGAAAATTGAGTGGAATATGGAAATAGAAGAATTAATCTCCAAAATGATGAATAGTAAATATGTATATGCCCATCAGATATAGATGGTTTAAAAATTCAGACATGGTTAAGAGGAGAGAAAATGACCTGAATGTCGAACATTGCATCTGGGCTAACCGAATAACCTGTCTTTTCTTTGAGGAATGTAGCAACCTTGATCTTGTTGCTTCTTTTGGCTGCCCTCCACTCAGTTTGAAGATCCTCATTATCTGCAAACTGCAATGATTTTTTCACTCATTAAAATATATTATACAGCTTGAATAATGATAAGAAAAGAAAAATAATCTACCGGGTTTAAAGATAGTGCATGTATAAGAGAAACCTAAAAGTCCCACTCAATTCTGTAAGCTATAGAGAGTTGAATCATATATAGAATGGAAGAAACAAACATATAAGTAAAATCTTTCTAAAATTTAATAAGCTGTCAAGAAATGTAGAAGTTATTATAGGTGAAACTATATTATGCAACTCTAGACACACAGGTTATGTGTAGCTTGAGGTGACAAACAGGAGGACTTAGTTGTTTAGGCAGTACTTATCAGCTCAATAGGCTGGACCAAATAAAGGTCCTGTACCAAGCCATTTAAGCCACAGAAACCATTCCAGAATTTGATGGCCTATTACAAATAATCTAGCAATACAAGTGCTATATATAAAAAGTTGGATGTGGCAGACTACATGGATTACCTTCTGCAGTTCTGCCAATTTCTCAGTATGCAGGACCCAATCGTCTGTACCTATCCACTTAGAAATAATGGTACTTAGATCTGGATTGCAGAAATGGATCCATCTTCTAGGCGTTACACCATTTGTTTTGTTCTGAAACTTCTCAGGCCAGAGCTGCAAAAGATTTACAAATGAAAACCTCTTGCCACACAGGAGAAGTACATTAATGCACCAAAAATCAGCAAATGATACATGATCGAAAAACGAAAAAGAGTTCCCATAATCTTATCGAGAAATTTACCTGAAAAAAGTCATTAAAGACTTCCTTTTTAACAATTTCACTGTGGATCTCTGCAACTCCATTAACAGCATGACCACCTACAACACAAAGGTTAGCCATCCGGACCATCTTTGGCGGGATAGGAGCATGTTCGGGTTTTACAACTTTCTCCTCCTGCAGGTCCTTTCCTTCAAGTTCATCTTCTTGAGCAGGCACAACTTCATCACTAATTTCGTGAATAACTTCATCGCTAGTTTCCTGAATGACTTCATTGCTAGTTTCATGAATGACTTCATCGCTAGTTTCGTGAATAACTTCATCGCTAGTTTCATGAATGACTTCATCGCTAGTTTCGTGAATAAGGATTTCTTCTGGTTTAGCGAATAAATCAGCCAAAGATGCAGGCAGATCAACATTTTCCAAAATTCTCATTGCATTCACTTTTTTCTCCAACATTTCAGGATTTGATATTCCATATTCTGATATTATGTCTTGAATTAACTGAAAGATGAGTAAAATATGATGATATTCTACAAATGATAAATTCACAGAAATATGGGTCTTGTTGATTTATTAATGTGTCTTAATACCTGTTCATCAATCATCTCTATAATTTCAACGTGCCTTGGCAGCAGTTTTTGCATTAATTCATAACTCCATTTCTCCAGGGCCTCAGGCAAAACAGTGTGATTTGTGTATGCCACAGTTCTGCAAAGCACACATCACACGAAAAGTTAGTTTAGTAGCAGAAAACTTGAGACATTACAAAGTTTAATTACATTCAATAAAACCAATCACTTTGAAAAGTATATTATTGTTTTTGGCCATTTTAGTTTTTGTTGGATCTTGATGCATGGATGGAGTCACAGGGCACATCAAACAACCTTTTTACAATAAAGTTACAGAAGATACCAAGTAAAGGTTCGGCCACACATGCAAAGCCATTATTTAAGATGGCAACAAATCAAAATTTTTTGAAAAAGTTCAACACAAATTTACCCCATGAAGATTATATAGTTCAGAATAATTGAGAGGGATTCCTAGATTAATTTTAGGACCACCGCTCTACCAGTAGACATTGTGTCTGCCTTTGAAATTCTCTTATCTCCTGGAAGAGTTCAGAAGATATATATCACACCGACCTCAGTACAATGGGGATGAATTAGATGATTGTGTGTATGCATTGATTAATTTTATCTGTGATTCATAACCGGTCCAAAGCCAAATAATTTGTCAATGTTATACTGGACCATCTCATCTAAAAGTTTAATCTCTTTAGGAGGTGAAAACTTATTTGCTAAATTAATCTTGAGCACATCCTCAAGTAGATGCCAGTTCAAGTTTTTCAGGGTGAGGACGAGATTGAGACACAGAACCAAGAACTTTGTTTGTTTGGATACCAAGTTGAACACATCATATAAATGCTTGTGTTGTTAGAAGGGAGCAAAACTAGTCTTAAAAATTTTGTCTTCAAACGCTATAATTTTACTTTGCATTATATTCCAGCATATTCTTTAAGGATTTAAAGAACTTTTCTAACGTGGTCCACAAAAAGAACAAAACTGGTTATCCATTAAAAAGGGAAAGTACCTCTGTGTAATACTCCAAGCTTTCTCCCAATTCATGCCCTTGAAGTCCATCAGAATTCTCATTAACTCTGGAATACATAGTGTTGGGTGAGTGTCATTCATTTGAACTGCAACCTTTTCAGGAAACTCTTCCCATATCTCATTTCCACCAGATCTCCTCTCAAATCGTGCAATAATATCTTGAAGAGAAGCTGTGCACAAGGTATACTGTTGCTTCAGTCTTAGGATCTTTCCCTCCGTTGATTCATCTCCAGGGTAGAGTATGTAACAGATCTGATGTCAGAGAAAAGCATAAGATAGATTATTCTTGTGATGTTGGTGGTGCATTTGCATACGGAAGCAATATTTAGGGAATTAGGAAGCACGTAAAAAACAAAAGTTTATACCATATTTAATATGCGTACCTTCTCGGCATTTGTTTGGGCTTCACATGCTTTCGTGTGTTCTCCAGCATTGAAGGCATACAAATCAAATTGTTCAGACGGGACCTTAGTGGACCACAGTCGAAGGTTGATTGTGGTTTTGGTTTTATATCCTGGTATTGGCACATCACATGCAACAGCAACTATATCTTCTCCACCAATCCAATGCCTCTTCCCATCCAATCCTGTAAGAACTTTGCCATAAAACTTCACAGGATATGAGACATCATTTCTCACAATTTCCCAAGGATTACCCATCTGCACAGAAACTTAAGTTTACTAGGACATGCAGGAGATTTTACATTAAAATATCACTATCAAAACCATTTGATTCATCGTTTCCAGAAGCTTTCTTGAAGTATGATTGTAAATTCCAAACACTATATGTGCATATATGAATGAAGCAAAAAAAGAAGAAGAATAAAAGCAAGCATACTTCAAGCCAATTTTCAGCAACCTCCTCTTGTCCTTCTTTTGTAATCCGCTGTTTAAATAAGCCATACTTGTACCTAAGTCCATAACCCCATGCTGGATAATTTAAGGTTGCCAACGAGTCCAGAAAACAGGAAGCAAGTCTCCCCAAACCCCCATTTCCAAGAGCAGCATCTGGCTCCTGTTATGGATAAGTCGAACAATTAGCAGAAAGAAAAAAAGAAAAGGGCTTGTACATGCTTGGAGATTGCAAATCCTAGTAGCCTTTTATCTCCATACATCGTTTTGTCAAGGGTTCCTATATTTCTCTGCCCAAGTACATGTTTCAGCCGCATCTCATATTGCAATAAAGCAAGATTATGGCCTAACACTTGTAGATGTAGAAAACTAAATTATAATATAACTGATGTTTTGAGGACTAAAAGTGATCAATGTCTAACAGAGCCACCCTAACGATTACATTGTAAACTAAATTCTGATATACAAAGAAAGGTTGCTGACAATAAGTCCGCTTTCAACTTATCCCAATTGAAATAATCACAGGACAATCTGACCTGTGAAGCTACAGATTCGAGACTGTGACCAAGCTTTTTCAAAGCTTCTGCATATTCACCAATGAGCTCCAAATTACCAATTGAATTTAACAATGCTCTGCCCTGAGAAGAAACAAGCTTCGTCACAGAAAGAGAAGTAACGAACAGCTCAACATGGCAGATTTTTATCAAGGATATAAGTCTAAATATAGTATTGGTCTTCTGATATTAATAATCAAAACTATTGAGAAGGACTCATTACAAACCTGTAGAAATTCCATTGATAAATAATATGCTTGTTTTACATTCATCTTTTCATAAAGATCGTATGTTGCATTCCAATTGATGATTAATGCATCTCGTACACTTTGGGCGGTAGCATAGAAAGCCTTGGGGAGCTCAAAATGTTCAGGAGAAAATAATGGTGTGAATTCGGCATGGTATTTGATACTTGAGGCAATAGATGCAGCATCAGGTGTAAAAGAACTCTGATAACTCTGAACTCCTAAAATCAACACACAAGATCAAATGGTTAATGCTATGTTCATTAGCATAAAGCTGGTATAAAAAGCTGCCTCTTGATCTATTAAATACTTGCTCTATGCATCCACAATTCAATTTTTGACAAATGTATCAATTCTAGATAAAGGTATCAAAAATATTATAGGAAATTAAAGCATAAAAACATAACTTTGATAATGAAGAAGCATAAATACTGACCAAAATTTTACTCTAAGATAAATGTTTAATGATCACCAGTTCGTGAGTTTTATATTTCCAAGTAAACCTGTAAAATTTTTAGCCTGATATCTATTATTCAAGCATTTAAAAATCACAAATGTTCCTAAATTAGTAATGCTGACTAAGAAATTCATGAATTCCAGTGCTTATATTGCAATATATCCAAAGAAAATCTCATCCAAAAGCTACTTACCTCACATTCTATTACTACCTCTTTCCCATAAGATAGGACTTGTTTCTATTTTCACACATATTAAGAAAACTTAATTAATATATGTTGGAACTATAAATTTTACATACATTTTTTCTTATATACCCTTACATTGAATAATGATAGTTCATATATGTTCATAACAAGGCTCCTTAAATAGGGATATATTAGAAAATTAAGACATAAATTATACTATCAATAAGGAAAGTGGCCTATAAATTGGGACAAACAAAAAAGGAAAGCAAGTCTATCTTTGTGGGATGGAACGTGTTCTATTTTTCAACGTCATGCTTGTAAAAAGTTACGCATACTCTGGAATTAGCACTTATTCCCCTTGTTCTAGCAAAATCCCCGATTTCTTTGTCTGCACTTTCTCTAGCTTCCTTGTCCAATAAAACCCTCATTTCATTATATTTGAATATGCGCTCTGTTATTGAGGATACGGAAGCCTAAACAAAATTTTACTCTAAGATAAAGGTTTAATGATCTCCAGTTCCAAACTTGTTATTCCAAGTAAGGCTGTAAACTTTTACAAGATATTCATGATTTCCACTGCTTATACTGTAATAAATCCAAAGAAAATCTCGTCCAAAAGCTAGGAACTTAAATGGAACTCACAAATTTAAACTTTCAAAATTTAAAATTTGCCAAATGTTTGACGTGGCGAGCAATAAAAATGCAGAAGATTACGATATATTATAATTCACAGGAGTTTCTAAGTTAATTACGCTGACAAAGAAATTCGAGAATTCTTCTGCTTATACTGCAATTAGTATATACAAAGTAGAATCTCTACCAAAAGCTAGGAAATTAAATTGACCCACAATTTCAATTTTTCAAGAAATTAGACATCTCCACATGCTTAACAATTTTCAAAAAGGTAAACAATAAAAATAGCAGCAAAAGTCCAACTGAGAATCTCATCCAAAAGCTAGGAATTTAAATCTACATCACGTTTTAAAATTTCCAGAAACTAAAATCCTCTTAACAATTTTTGATGCTGTAAGCAAAAAATAAAAGATAAATAACACAGATTACATAACATAGCATCAAAACATCCATCGTAAGTGTAACATAAATATCGAACCTTCTTCCGTGATCGGATCAATTACTTCCTGCTTCGGCTCACTGGAAAAACTCTTCACATAAAATGACGTTTTTACCCTTCTCGTAAAAAACAGATTACAGTTTCCATTTCTGCGAGTGAAATCAATTGGCCTTGAATTAGAACGGCGATGCGATAACGCTGCCGTCGCCGTGTAGCACGATAAAGTCGCCATTTTTTTCTCTGTGTCTTTATGAAAGTGTGTGTAAATGTGTATGGTTGGTGCTGGTACTGGAGATTGAAGATATTGTATAGAAAATGTCTGAGGGACATGGATTGATGGAGTGTGTTGTCTGGTAGCGATTAACAATCATCGAAATTTTGAATCACAATACAGTTTCTCGTGCCAGCCATGCTGTGCGGCTCTGAGTAAACGTAGATGTCACTCACTCTATGGGAAGGAATTGTCTGCGGTCAAGACTGCAGTGTTCTCCAGAATATTGATATTGATTAAATTTTAATCAATGTTAGTATTTGGCATTGTCTCAATACACGTGAGTAAAGAAGTATATAGAATAGTTGAGGTAAGTGAGGTTGGGGTTTGATGCAATACAAAATTGAGAAGAATTTATGTAAAACTGGGATTGAGATTGGGAGAGGGGGAAAAAATGAGTGTTCACTTTTGGAGTAATTTCCGTCTATTTTTAATGAAAATGGTCCAACGAGCAAAATAGTAAAGGCCTATTTGGAGCGATTTTTTCTACCAAAAACTTAATTTTTTGACCGTTATTTCACTATTTCAGTCATCATATTTGACTTCTTCTCTCACAGGTGGACCGTACTTTTTTTCTAACGATCAAAAAATCAATTCTCAAAATCACTCCCAAACAGGCTCTTAAGTGTTATCGGACGTTGATATCTTAGTAGTTTATGGTACAATTGTATTGAAATTTGGATAACAAGTTGACAACTCATTTTTTTTTCAAAATTAACAATTAAAATCAAAATACAATGATTCATTCATGAGAAAGATCTATGTGAACAATAACAAAGTTTAATTAGACTACTAATATCTATAGACAATTTGAAGATTTCTGCAAAAGTACTCAAATTTAATTGTTCCCTTTCCCCTAGAAGTAGGTTCATTCATTAAAAGTTTTTTTCGTATTATATATATCAATATCGAATTGAGCAGGATTATTTATAGTAATATTTAATGACATATATGCTCCTAAATAAATTTATCTAAAAATTATTTTTATTTTAAGGGTTGATATTCTCCAAGAAACACAACCATATGTATATATAGCATAAAATAATATATGTTAGTATACACAAATTTATATCATGGATGAAGTTAATGATCATCCACTTGTGTTGTGTTATTTAATCTTTTATTAATTACGATAAAGTGGCGATAGAAAATTTTTGTTCAATTATTTAGTTATGAGTATCCACTGAATCTCAATCACGTTGAGCTTAATGCTTATCACGACTTCTTGAAGGAGAAATGAATAAATGAAGATAACATTAATATGTCATCAAGTTATGCAAATTTAATTGAAGTATGTTCAAGAGCCAACATTAAGTTATTGTTTGGGGGGGGGGGGGGGGATTTT